GTGAATGTGACATGAAGTAAGTAGCTCTCTTTGCCTCTCTAAGATAGATACATGGGTAATAGAAGAAAAAGAACCATTCTGTAATTCCTCCGTGATTTCTGGACATAAGAAAAACCAGACTATGAAATAAATGGAAAGTACATGGACTGGGGGAAATGGGGTCAAGAAGAATATCCAGTACTACTACGTATGTGACATAGTTTTCTTTTCTTTATCTCTTTTTGCTTTATAAATTTATTTGAAAAATTCACAATGCAAGAACATTCCTTTTGTGGATTTTGGTTTGATTGTTTTTGGAAAATTTTTGTGCCTATTATAGAAGGAATCATGACTTTCTGCTTTAAATATGTACATTTGCATGATTTACAGCATTAAACAAGCACATTCTCAACATAAGAAATATTGATTATATTAGCAAGGTAGATAGATAGATAGATAGATAGATAGATAGATAGATAGATAGATAGATAGATAGATAGATAGGTAGGTAGGTAGGTAGGTAGGTAGGTAGGTAGGTAGGTAGGTAGATAGATAGATAGATAGATAGATAGATAGATAGATAGATAGATAGATAGATAGATAGATAGACAGACAGATAATAGGGAAGGTGTGCCTGTCTGCTGGAGGACTCCTGCCATGTACACTTGCTGACTTTTGAAACATGTTGTCCAGGGATCTGTTACTCTGTTGCAGTCAATTTTGTGATAGGTAGCCTCACAATGGGGACTCTGGGGTACTTTATTTAGCTGATTCAGTATATTGGGCTGAAATGTTCTTAGGTAGAACAGGAATGTACTACTTTTATTTCAGTAACGTCTTCAGCAACATTCTGACATGCGTTTCTCTTTTCCTTTTTACTGTGTTTATCTATGTGGTGACTAGATGTCCACATGATTTCTTCCAAGACATAAAGTCAGTTAAGACTATTATTACTGGATTAGATATTTCTTCATTACTCTGTCTTCTTTCACAACTTACCTAATTACTCACCAGAGCATCAAGATTGATCATCTTCCTCCATGGCTATGCATCCTTTTCTGTTAATCTGTTTGAATGTGTCAGTTATCAATTTTAATGTGTTTGTGAATCTATCTGGGTAAGATATACAGACAGTAAAGTAGAATGTCATTAAAATGAAAATACCAAGCCTTATGGTAAAGGAATAAAAATAGTGGAAAATTTAAAATTTAGATGAACAGTAATTTATTTGGATATTAAAAAATTCTCATTGCTCTTGATATTCTATCCACTGTGATTAATTTCTAATTTACTAGTAGATAACATTAGTTCCTGTTTTTTTTGTGTGTGGCTACTTCCCATGAAGAGAAAGAAATTTAAATTTCAATGTGAAATTCTGTAGATCTGATTACTTAAAATAAATTGTATATAAGAATCTGTCACTTAATATTTATTTTATTATTACTAAACCTGCAGGTGATAATATAACCAGTGTGTTATGGAGATTGCAATCTCATGACCAATTCACATTCTTCTCACGTATTATTTACTTGACAATCACTGTGTGACTTACTTTCAAAACTAATTTAATATTGGAGGTATAAATCTTAAAAGTCAATAGTGTATATACTATGCAGTACAAGGAATAGAGATGATTCTTTATATTAAAGAAACAGTGTCTAATGCTTCAAGGAGGTGGAATGGAAGTCAGTACTCAGGGTCATCTAGTCACCACACAGATGAGCATAGTAAAAGGAAGAGAGAAATGTATGTTAGAATGTTGGTGAAGATGCTACTGAAAGACAAATCATGTAGACATCCATAGCTGTTCAAAATGCAGAAAACAACTGACCATGAGTTATTCAGCCTCAATTAATTCATCTACAGCACAACCTCACATCTAAGGCTTAGAGAGCATCCTGGATGAGGAGGTAGAAAGACTCTGAGGGCTAGAGAATCAGGGTGCCTGCTGTGGGACAGAGTCTTCTAGACAAGATAGGGAAGCTGCCCCTATGTAATCTCAGCAATATGGTTGCCTACACCAGACTTGTGTAATAACAACACTAGTAAATATGTCAATATTGATAGGGAAAATTTCACAAGGTCATGCCCTGAGATCAAGAACTACTGAAAATCAATCTTGCTATTGAAAAAGCAAGATCAGTTTTCAGCCCCTGATAGGCTATCCAATTCCAAGTGGTAGCCCTAAACACACACATATACACCCCACAACACATACAGGAGCAATATTAAACAATTCATGTTTAATACATGCATGTATGTATGCATGTGTTGATAACAATAATAGTTAAAGAAGAGATCATCAATATGAAGTGGAATCGGGGGCTGTAGGAAGATTTGGAGGGAGAAGGATAGATGGAGATGAATGATGTACATGTAGTATTTGTATATCAAATTTTCAAAATGTGTTTTATAAAAGAGCTAATAAAATTTTATATAAAAAGACAAAGATTCTGTTGGGATTTCTGTATGACTGAATTGTATTTTTCAAAGGTACACATTGTGGAATGCCAGTCCTCTGCAGATGTGGAGAGACAGCAAAACCGTCAAGGCCATGTAGAAATAATTGTGTGATGAGATCATTATCTTCAAAAGGGATTAATGCTGATTTTGTGGAGTAAGGTTTTTCAAGAGTGTGGATTTTTATAAGAAAAACATGTCAGATCCTCAAATATCTCTGTCCTCTTGTCTCACATGTTCACCTTTTACATGTGCTCCTCGTGTGAAGTATCTGCCATTATGTGCTCATCATAGGTTAGAGGTCTGCACAATCTTGGACTTTTAGTTTCCAAAACTGTGAGCCAAATTGAGCTCCTTTTTAAAAAATAATGTACATAGACTCAGAAATCTTGTTACATTCCCAGAAATAGGCTAATACAGATTCTAAAGCCGATAGTATGCACAGTTAAGTGTAATAAGGCTTACTTGGTTGAAAAAATAGAACCGCATGCACAATGCACAAAAGCTTGACGAACAAGTTGGGTGTATAAATAGATGGGTAGATGAATCAACTAATCTTCTAGAATAAATTCAGACATTTGTCCATTGGGGTGATAGCTGTCATTTTAAAAACAGAGTTTTTGTAGCCAAAGTTTAAAAGAAAGCTAAGAATACTCCATTGTCTTGACTTCATGCTAGGTGATTTCTTCCAGGAGACATGAACAAACAAACATCTATCTAAACCTTCTATAGCACTCATGACAGAACAGTGACCCTTTTCCATCCACATCTAACTTAGTGAGCCCATGAGTTTATTGGGATTATTTGCAAGCATATGGGTGACCCCAAAGGCAGCTGCACCACTGAAAAGCCCAGCCAGCACAGTCTATACATTATAATAGCTATGTCAAAGCCCAGCCAGCACAGGCTATACATTATAATAGCTGTGTTAAAGCCCAGCCAGCACAGGCTATACATTATAATAGCTGTGATGCCAGTAAAGCTTGCTGGCAGCACAGTAGTCAGAGTCTCTTCTCTTTGAACAAGTGTTTACTGCCTCCATACCCTTAAAGGCAGGCCTCTGGAATACTGTAAGTTTCAGGAGCTTCCTGCTACCTGTGAGTTATGTTCGCCTGCTTAGTCTTTGTAATCCTCTTTCCACCCTCAGAAAGAGAGAATCTTTTAATTCTGAAAGACCAATATAGAGTACCACCAAATATTTCTGTCAATGTCTAAAATGTTCAATATAAACCCAAAATTCAAGAGTATTTCCACCCCCTTCCTTTAGGAAATACTTAGGCAATTATTATAATACTTTAGCATTCACTGTGATGTTTTTCTTTTTCTTTTTTTGGAAAATGTTAGCATTTAATAAACCACCCTGGGTGGCTTCAAGCCACCAGGACACAGGCACTTCCAACACCCTTTATCTTTTCTTCAGCTCTTCTACTGAAAAATTTGGCTTCCATGATGACAGGCTGCTTATGGAGCTTTCCCTACCCCAGACCTTGGTAGTAGCCTGATCACACAACATCAACGATGGGAGCAGTTCCAGTCTTGTTCTTTTGCCGTATGGACACGTGTCTGCTCACTGAACAGCGTTGACAATGTATTCAGGTTGACAGTCAGACAGGAGTTCTGGTTCCAATTTAAGTGGTAATGTCTCATACCAACTTTCCCAAAGAAACCTGGATAGTATTTGTCGAAATTGATCCTGTGGTGATGCATGCCTTCAGCATTCCTGCAGCCTCCTGGGTGCTTGCGGTGTTTACTGATGTGGTCATGACCATGGCCGTGGCTCAAGTGGCCCTGGAGTTTTCGGGTCTTCCTCAGTCTGGATGGCATGAGGGCAGCAGAATGGAATGAACAAGTGATTTTTTTTTTTATTCTAAGACTTAATTTTAGATCATATTCTGGTTAAATCTGAACAAGAACCTTCCAGAAGTACACTATACACAGTGTGACTTCTTTTAACTTTAATACAGTATTTTCCCTATTTTACATGACCAGAATACAGACAAGGATAGAATCTAATTTTGAAATGAACTGCTCCATTTATTTATGTCGCTATTATCAGCATTAGATATAAATGTCTTAATAGAAAAGTGCTCTGTGGCTTAGAAGTTTGAAGTCCACGAGAAGGGTCAAACATGATTTAATTACAGAAGCATGTATAGTTTACCGAGATCACAAAAGTTAACAAGGAAACAGCAACACCAAAAATAAAAGAAGTGAAAGAGTGGTTCTGAGTATAGTTTGGTGAGTAGTCAAATTTGTGGTAGATCTTGATGGGTGCATTTGGGAGATAAAGCATGGGGTTCATGCTGATCATAAAATAGTGACTACTCTACTTAAAGGTAAACATAAGCATATTTTCCATCACTGTGATTAGGTATAATTATTTGTCAGGCTCTGGTCAGTGAACATGAGACATTATGAAACATAGTCCCCAAATGCTGTGGATATCGTTCTGTATAAATAAAACACTGATTGACCAGTGGCCAGGCAGGAAGTATGGGCGGGACAAAGAGAGAGGAGAATTCTGGGAAGTGGAAGGCTGAGTGAGGGAGAAACTGCCAGCCGCAGCCATGACAAGCAGCATGTGAAGATGCCAGTAAGCCACGAGCCACGTGCCAAGGTATAGATTTATAGAAATGGGTTAATTTAAGATAAAAGAAGTAGATAACAAGAAGCCTGCCATGGCCATACAGTTTGTAAATAATATAAGCGTCTGTGTGTTTATTTTATAAGTGGGCAGTCGGAGTGCCAGGGTTTGGTGGGACCTGGAGAGACGCTCTCCAGCTACACCTAAATGTATTAGTGTGGTTTAGTGTGACTACTGACATTTAGTAATTTGTCAAAAAGGGAGAATATACTTTGAATAGCTGCAGGACCCAGGGGAACAGAGAATCACAGACAGCGGATGCATTTTCAACCCACTGCTTGAATCCAGCCCTACAGAGCCCAGCTGAGCTCAGGTTGAGTCAGAGCTGTCCAATATAATGCTTACATGGAACAAAAAATTGTGCACAGTTTTAAATGCTATGCTGCATTTTGAGGTAGTCCCTTACGCCTTATTATCCCACAAACCAAACAGTACACAGGAAATGCTTATTTGGTTGGTAGAATAATACCACATAAAATACCTAATAGTCGTGCTAGAAACCCCATCCAATGACTGAGGGACCTGGATGCAGAGATCCATGGCTAGGCCCCGGGTGGAGCTCAGGGAGTCTAATTAGTGAGAAAGAGGAGGGTTTATATGAGCGAGAATTGTTGAAACCAAGGTTGGATAAAGCACAGGGACAAATAGCCAAACGAATGGAAGCACATGAACTATGAACCAAAGGCTGAGGGGCCCCCAACTGGATCAGACCCTCTGAATAGGTGAGACAGTTGATTGGCTTGATCTATTTGGGAGGCATCTAGGCAGTGGTACTGGGTCCTGTGCTCATGGCATGAGTTGGCTGTTTGAAACCTGGGGCTTATGCAGGGCTGCTTGGCTCAGTCTTGAAGGAGGGTACTGGACATGCCTGTACTGAGTCTACCAGGTTGATCTCAGTCCTTGGGGGAGGCTTTGCCCTGGAGGAGGTGGGAATGGGGGGGTGGGCTGTGGGGAAGGGGACGGTGGCAGGAGGGGGGAGAACAAGTGCATCCGTGGCTGATATGTAGAACTGAATGGTATTGTAAAATAAAATAAAAGGAAAAAAATAACATTCTATTGTTTTCCTATGATTAGACATATGATTACTATAGGGGGAAAGTGAAAACCAGAAGACAGTTTGAATATTGAAACCCAAGAGTTGAACCAGGCATCCTAGATGATAGGATGTCATAAAAATATTGTTTTCCCAGACAAAGATGTCATAATCATTACCTACAGAATGAATCCTTCAACTTCATGTGGATGGAGATTTACCAGAAAAAGGACTTAAGCAAAAGCTTCAGGTACCAACGTTGTGCCAGATACTTGAGGTACATCATCAAGTGAAAGGAGGCCTCTGTTCTTGCTCTTAATGAAGGGAAAGACAATGTATAACCAATGAAAAGAGTGATGCATGTGGTCTACTAAAATTATACAAGTAGCAGAGAAAATATAAGAAACTCAGAGTATGATAAGAACAGATCTTGCCAATTTTAAAAGTTTAGGCAGAATATATATTACTGAGAAGGCAACACCAACTTTCCATAATCAAGGATGCTTCAAGATCAGCAGCTATTGTGTGTTTATGGGAATCTAGCTAAAAGCTCTCTGTAAATGATTTCTGTAATCAAAGGTGCAAATTAGTCCTTAGAACATACATATGACTCAAACACACACACCCATACACACAGACACAGTCTGTGAATATTATGACATATGCTTACAATAGCAAGAAAGATGTCTTTGTTAATGAGTACATATGTGGTTCTATTCAGTGATTAAAAAAAATGGCTCATGAATAAGCAGTGGCTGCTTTTTCTGGGCCACCTGGAATCTTGAGTTGAAACATATTTTCAGCCATAATCTAAGCTTTCACTTGTGAGAAACTGCGGTTTATGTTCATCACAGCATCCAGCAGACAGTTGGCAATCAATCCATGCTTGGCATTCTAGAAGGTATCTTTATACCGAAGAATTCAAGTGCTGCGCCAAATCTTTCTCCAGGAAACAGGGGGAAAGATTCTAATGGTTACACTTTTCATAGGAAAAACAGCATGAAAGTAATCAAACATTGCTGGAAGGGTCCAAAGTCCTTCCTTGGCTTTGCCATGAATACACTGGAAACCACAGCATCTTAAAAGGGAGCAACACTGGAAGAAGATGTAAAATATATATACTGTGGTGTAAAATGAACAATTGTATTTTCCAGTTTGCTGCCTGACACAGCAACAAAAAGTACAGAAGCATAGAAACTACTATAGTAAGATTTGGTATCAGCCTTGACGCTTGCACCTCCATTGTCTATTATATACTGCTTAACCGGGTCTATCTTACCACTCTTGCTGCTTTGTGTTTTCCAACTGGCGGAGTACATGAATGCAATCACCCAAGAAGCCAGCAAGCTCTTTTCAAAATTTCTATTTTGGTACAACCGATATCCATGCTTCACAAAGCACCCTGAGTGATCTTCAAAACAGGCAAATTGGACTGTCACACTTCTATTTAAAACTCTATATTAGAATATTCATTTCTTGTCTCTTTGCTGTAACAAAACACATGATGAATGAAATTTAAGGAAGGAAGGACATTCTGGGGTTATGGCTTGAGGATACAATGTATTATGGTATGGAAGTAATGGTGGCAGGAGTTTGAGGCAATTCGTCATGTAGTATCTTCAGTCAAGAAGCAAGGAAAAAGAATGCTCATACTTAGCTTACCATCTTCTTTTTATTCAGTTCAGGATATTATCCAATGGCATAATACCACACATAAGATTCACATAAAGGTGAATCTTTCCTTCTTAGTCAACCTGACCTGTGTCATTTCACAGGCTCCTCTAGAGGCTTGTCTCCTAACTAGTCCTAGACCCTCTCAGGTTGATAGTATTAACTATCACCATTATCTTTGTAATGCCATTTTGCCATTCTCCTTTCTATCTCATTCTAAGAAAAAAATTAGTTTTCTTATGTTATATACTTTATTTCCATTCTTTTAATAAGTCACTCTTAAAATAATGTCAATGGAGCAATATCTACATTTCAGACATGAATTAAAAGACCACTTCTTCTGAAAGTGCTCTCTTAACATCAGTCCTCAGAGCTCTGTTTTATTATTTCATAGGACTTAATATTATTATACGTTAGATTATTTAATCACTTGATTTTATCTTCATCACTTGACAACAATATTCCCTTCACTTAGGCCTCATCAGAAACACTGGCAATAAGTACCCCCAAACAAGGATCCTATCAGCATTCAGCAAATATCTAGTGTTAACTGTGTTTGGTGTTTATGGTTTTGTTTTTGCTTTGTTACGAAGGGATTCATGAATTAATAAAAAGATAAGTAGTAAGTCCACAAAGACGTTTTTCATATGCCACATTTATAATTTACTACTAAAAATGAGCTTAAAGCAGCCAAGCACACCCAAGCATAGATGCTTCATTATAAAAATAAAAGTGCGGCAAATCTTTTCCAGAATGGAAAGAAATATAACATTGATATCAACAGTCAAGTAATTTTTGCAAGGGAGCAATGAGGACAGGAAGAAGGAGAAGAGGAACAATTGAAGAGTGAGAAAAAGGAAGAGAAAGAAAAGGAAAGAAGAAAAAAGAAGAGAGGAAAGATTCAAAGCAAATGGGAGGAGAAGGCTGAGATCAGCAGTAGAGCAAGTGCCTGTCTACCATGCACAAAGCCTAAGGAGGAGAAGACAAAGGTTAGAAACCAGCTTCTGGGGCTGAGAAAGCAGTTGGTAGAATATTCCATAGCATGAAGAAAGCTCTGAGTTTGATTCCAGCACCCCATAAAACAAGACATGGTGGTGCATGCCTAGAATCTCAAGCCATGAAAAATGATGATGGGAGAAGCAGAAGTTCCACGTCATGCTTGGCTATGAGGTAAGTTGGAGGATAGCCTAAGCTATATGAAACCCTCAATGTATAGATAGATTCCTTCTCAGTAACACTGGAGAATAGACACTGAATGAAAAAAACACTTTAAGATAAAGTATTAAAATACAGAATAATAGAAAATTTAGACATAGCTATTTTTAATATTCTAGGATATTCTGTTTCTGCTCTTTAACTTTTGACTTTATGTTTGCACATTGTTTGGATATGAACTGATATCCCTAAAGTGCCATGTATTGAAGTCTTGGTCTACAAATGGAGCTATTGCTGAGAAGTTACTGGACCATAAAACATAATCAGTTAATTAATCCCCTGATGGATTCATGGTTTTATGGCTTCATTAGGAGTTGGTAGAACTAAGGAGGTGGGTCTCAGGTGGCAGAATTGTGTCACTGGAAGAAAGTCTATGAAGAGTCACATTGTCTTTGGTACATACCTCTCATTTTCTCTGCTTTCTGCCTAACCAAGGTGACCTACTCTTCCCTGCAATTTCCTCCTTTCATGGTATTTATGCATCACTTCATTCCCACCTCTAACCTTGGAGCCAAAACACATTGTTCCTCTGGAAAATTCTTCACTTCACATATTCTGTCACATACCAAAATCCTAACTAAAGTTGCAGGACTCCAACTACAAAATTAAGACACTCAGGAGAGTACACTGTCTCTGATCATGGTTAATCCTTATCAATACAGGGACTTGGGGAGGACTAGATGATTTACACCGAGGATGCTCCTCTCCATCATTCTTGAAGTTGGATTGAGGGCAGGGTAAATAACAGAAGCTTCCTAGGAATGATAGTAGATATTGAGAAACTGTAATCTTTACTGAGTAGTCTCAAGGTGTGTGTGTGTGTGTGTGTGTGTGTGTGTGTGTGTGTGTGTGTGTGTGTGCTTTTATCATGATGGACTAAGAGAGAAGAAACAGAGTATAAAGATGAGTCTAGGACCAAGAGAGCTCCACCCTGCCTCTTTGATCATGGAGTTCTAGAAACCAACCTGGCTGAGCAACAGCAGATCATTTACTCATGATTCACCCATTAGGGGCACAGGACTCTCAGTAGCAGCTAAAATAAAGATCCAAACCG